GTATATATGCCGGCAGTCCCGACCACATTTTCTCCTGATGGGGCTTAGAAGCATTCAGCCTTACGCACCGTATCGAGTGTTGAGGCAACTGGGGAGATGCCAGATAGTACCCAAGGATGATGATCTTAGTTTGCAAGTGGTTGAGATTGGCCCTGATGGCCAGTTTCCTGAGGCAGTGGTCCGCCAAGTTTGGAGCGAATGTCAATATTTGGCGGCAAACACTTGTGTTCGAGATCTAGCCAAAGGAGAAGTGTCACCGGATTACCAGGCTTGGTATAGAAGAGACGTTGCATTCGGAAGACCGGCCAAAAGACCTCACATCCAGGAATTTGTTGAATCATCACAAGAACAGTGGGCTTGGTTAGCTAAAGAAAATGAGTACAGGGCCCGCATAGGAGCATTGGAAAAACAGATCCAAGACCTCCGATTTGAAAATAGCTTGCAAGCCGCGACTGACGAAGGGGAGAGAAAACAATTGGCCAAGGAGAATGAAGTCTTACGAGCCCAAATCCAAAAGATGAAGCTAGAGGCCGACAACCCCGTCAGAAGTGCCAAAGATACAAAGCTTATAGCAAATCTAAGGCAAAAGGTGAATGACTACAGTTTTGACCTCGACAAAGCAGAAAAGGAATTAGTTGGGGTCCAGAGGCAATTGGCTAAAAGTGCAGAAGAACGGGCTCGCATGGTTAAGCAGTTAAAAGAAGAATATGACAATAAGGTCGCAAGATTAAAGGAAAAGGCCACTGCCGCAGAAAACCGAATGATTAAACAGGCAAAGGACTTCAAAGTCGAGAGAGAACATTGTTACATGGCATTAGCACAGTTAGAAATGGACTTACGGCAACTCCGAAAACAGAGCCAGAAGTTTGAGCAGACTTTGGAGGCTAGGGGCCAGCAGATAGGGAGGTTGCTTCAAGAGAAAGGAAGAATCCGAGAGAGAATCTTAACCGTTGCTCATTCTATTACCCGGAAATGCCAGATGTGCGAGAACATGACCTGTACCACCTTCTTTGCATCAGTCATGATATTTGTGAAGCAGATAATGAATGACTTAGACAGACTCCAAGGGGAACTTGCATATAGGCCCGCGGCGAGACCGAACGATGTCCCGCGGGCACCAGGAGCTTTAATGTATTCATAGTCGTCTTTGAGTCTGCTAGAGTTTACCTTTTGAGTCTGTATTTCCTTTTAATGAAGTTAGGTCGCTTGGGCTTGTATTTCTTTTTATCGGAGTCTGTATTTCCCTTTTTGTTAAAAGACAGTCAGTTGATTGAGTCTGCATTTTGTTTGAACTAGGATAGGGATGGTGGAGTCTGTAGTTCTTTTTGCATCAGAGTCTGTCTTGAGTCTTTGTAATAGACGTAGTTGCTATCAATAAACTTGAAAATTCCCAAAACTATTCTGCTTCTACTTTACATTTATCCTTCACGAACTACGCCTGGTCTGATTCACGTGGGGTCGTGATACGTAGGCAATCTCCATAGGATTCGACCATTTCTAAATAATAAAAGGAACACTAAAAAGGAATGATACAAATAAGGGAAAAACCAAAGGAAAGAGAATCCAAAAGAGGGAGAAAAAAACAAAGTGAAAAGGGAAAGATAAGAGTAGGAACTAATTGTCAAGAGAAGGAAATAAAAGCCGGGATGACGCATGTGATTGAACAGCGACATAATAGCAACGTTTTATTGCTTAGGTGCATCCATCCATCAATGTGCGTTATCTATTTGTTAATGCCCTAATCGCTAACAAGTTGTTGTTGATGAGTCCAGGCAGGTGATAAGCTGACTGGCATTCTGGCAACCCACCCTTACAACACACGCTCCAAAGACAAGT